TGGTGCCCGCGGGCACCACGTTAGTGACCCCTGGTCTAGTAGTTCCCATTGATTTTGCTTGTAAAGCGGGGAGAATGGCGCTAGGCTTACCGCACCGTGACGTCACTGCTGGAAGATGTCAGGAGTGAGGTGTTACTTTATTTGGGGGGAAAATGGCCGCTCCCAGACTCAGCGATTGCAACAAAAATAATGTTTTCATTTTTTTTACTGATTAACACTAAATTCATGAAATCACTGCAAACACATTAGTTTTAGGTATAGATAATGATCGATTTAGCATTCCTTGCAGACCGGACTTTTCCTTTAAAAGTAAAGCAAAAAACGTGAATGTTTCTACGAGTCTCTGATCACGAGGACCCACCACTTCCTTGAGTTTGGCCTCGATCTCCTCTGAGGTGAGCTTCTTGCTCAGCGGCGTCTTCCTCAGGAGCATGTCGCAGTAGTTGGCCAGCAGCTCTGGACACTTGGACTCTGGTTGGGTTTTCATCCCCACCCTATAAGCATGACAGCGATCAGTAAGACATCAGCTCGGCTTTGGATCAGAACCAAAAGCAGCGGCTGGTAGTAAAAATTCTCTTACCCTTTCTGTTTCATTGGAAGCTCTAGTTTGAATATGGTGGCATCATTAACAACAGCTTTATACGCCTGGAAAAGAGAATAAAAATGTAAAGAGAAACTGTCCATCGCCTCCTTTGAATGTTCAGCACAGAAAAACTCACCTTGTCTCGAGCAGTGAGGAAGCGAGGGTCGTCCTGAAAGGCTTCTTTTACCAGCCGACTGAAGCGGTTAAACAGAGTCAGCAGCTGCTCCACATATTTCTCAGAGTCCTGCAGCAGAAAAAAACATTAAAGCAGGTTTCAGATCCTAAAAGCTTAAACTGCAGAAAAAGAAATCTGTTTTCAACCAACTAGTTAAAGGGTTAAACTACCCAAAGCTTGACTCCAACAATTTTACTCCATTCTGCTGTTTTTATTCATCCACCATTTTCTATTATCTATTTACTTCCTCTTCATTAAACAAATCAACACTAAAAACTTTGAATCAGTCTTTAAATTAGGGCTGAAACTAACAATTATTTTGCAAATTGATTCATCTGTTGATTATTTTTTGATTCATCGATTATTAATCGGATAGTTTTTGCTAGACGATAGACGATATTGAAAGAAGAAAAAGATTTTTATCTTAAATTCCAAATGTTAACACATTTCTTTTACAATTTTGGTATAATTGCTGCTCAAGGTGGGTCGCTCTTTCAGCTAAAGACAAGTTTTTGAGTCGCTAAACTCCAGTTAACCATTCATCGATTATTAAATTAGTTGACAATTTTTTCAATAATCAATTAATCACAATTACTCTGATTAATTGTTTCAGCCCTACTTTAAATACATTTATCACAAAATAACAGCATGTTAGGAGCCGGAGCCTTTATGCTGACATGAGGAGTATCTGTTTTTTTCTTTGTCCTTCTGCTGGATGATAAACTGGGGCCTCAGTATCAGATCCTTTCATACTTTCTTTGTGTTTGTGAGATCTCCAACTAGTAAAATAACATTTAAACAAATAACTTTGTAGGAGTTAAGTTTAGAAAGTGAAAGGGAATGAGCAGATAAGGCACAAAAGAAACATATAGAAAATATAGTCTGATTGACCAAGAAAAAGAAGGACATTTAATTATTATAAAAGATGCCCACTATAAATCCACATTTAAGTGGGAACGTAACATTTCTAATCAACAGCTCATATAAAAAAATTTAAAAGGTTAAATATTAAATTACTATAAATGTAATTCTTTTTAGCTTAATCTAGATCTAAGGCTGAAAAAAAACGTGAACCGGTTTCAAAAGGTTCCTCTAAATAAGATTTTTACATGGGTTAATCGGTCCAACTTTAAAGAACAGAGACACTGTTCCCCTCATACTGAAAGCATTCATGAGTCTGAGTGAAAAGCTCACTGAGGTGATGGTCTCTGCTGAAGCCACCATATCGGCCAGGCCGGCGCTCATTATGTGGTCCTCCAGGTCCTTCAGCATGGGATCGATGCCACTGGGAACTTTGTCCATCAGAGAGAACATCAGGTGTAACCCTGTGGTGAAGAGAAAATGGATCCAGTCAGTTTACAAACTATTGTGACCCCAAAAGTCTGCATTCATTAACTTTTTCTCTAATTTCTTTAGATGTTTAAACCTCTCGACGTAGTTCACTGAAACTCTGTATGAAGGTGAAAACATTAGAAGGTTCAGGTTCTGGACTCACTGTCAGTCTCGTTTCGTTTGATCATGCCTGGACATTCAGCTAAGATGGTCTCCTTGAAAGACGTCACCAGCGCATTTACACAGCACTCCATTAACTGGAAGCAGGGAGAGGAAAACATCAGCGGTACTAATAGAAAACTCTGTTACATCATCCCTAGAATAACTCTGTCATTAACTTTTACAGACAAAACAGAGGTAGACTGAGTATTAAACTCACAGCTTGGACGGAGTTACAGTCGCGTCTCGTTTCCAGATACCTCAGCGCTCGTTTCTCCTCTTCTCTCAGCTTTGAATCCGCCTGGCGGGAGTTTAAGACCAAGTTACTGAACACAGAACCATGTCTTCTCAGCAAACGTGAAAATAAATAAAACAATCCGATCATCTTGATTAACCCAACGCTGCCCTAAAACTTCTCCCAGAACGTCCTCCTTGCCCATCTACCAGGGTCCCTTGTCTTCATGATGCTGGTTTTTCTCTAAACGACCTCTGATGCCAGAAACACAACAGCTGCAGTTAAACTAAAATCACAACAGGGTCTGAAGCTGATTCAATTGAAAAATACTTCACTAAACCCAAAGGGGAACTGATCCGAACTCAACATGGATCAGTTTCAGAGAGGTAGTGTAAATGGGAAATAAATCTTCAATTGATTTGTTTTCCATTTACTCAGGTTTTACGTGTTTGATAAAAAAAAAAAATCTGTTTGATGAGCTGAAAAATTAATACAAAAAGGCTAAAGCAGTATTTGTCAGTAGTACACTCCTGCCTTATACTTACATATTTCATGTAGTTCTGGACCCCGTTCTGCTGGAGGTATGATGGCGCCTGTGTTCTGTAGAACCTCTCTGTAGAATCCATGTAAGCCTTCTCAAAGTTGTCCCTGTAGATCTGTAGCTTGTCTTCAGGGTTGGAGCACAAGTTTACTGATCGACCAAAAGAAGGAAATCAGAGAGAAGAAAACTTCCATGAAAGTCTGCAACACTTCACAGGTTCTTCAAGAGTTCATGACGAACAGCTACTGGCTCTACATGTTTTACAACCATGCGAAGCTTTCCACATAGAGTTAACCACAACAAAATCTGTTTTCATAACTCAACGGTTAGTAACCAAATTAGATTTGTAGCTCAATACATAATAATAGGATTAAAAAGGGCATCTGTAGTAATTTAGTTTAAAAAGTGTCTATTCTATGGATTCATTTTATTTGAACTAATTTATTTCTAGTTTTTGGTTCATTTTTGTGTCCGTTTTTGCTGTTACTCTGGCTTAAAATAAATGGAAACCCCAAACTAACCTCCTCAGAAATTTGTACAATAACTAGAACATGTTTTAATGTGTCAATTTAGCCATTTTAATCATAAGGAAGACTGGAGGGTCAAAGGTTGTCCAGGTGGCAGCCACCAGCAGGAGAAACGTCATAAGGCTGCTACTGAGAAGGCTGAATGTTAACAGATTGCTGTACCCAAGCATTCTGATTGGAAGTTGAGTGGAAAGAAAAACGGTGGTGTACATGTAGCAGGGAGAAATGTAGCCTGGGGAATATATTGTGAATATCTTAAATATTGTGAGAAATATTTAATAGCTTAGCAGAGATTCTCTTTCATTTGCTCCTGGGCGTAATTCTCCCTCCCGTGCTGCGGTGGCGCTAAACCTATTTTGCCCTCCTACCTCGCTTCCTGGTTATACTCTTACAGCAGTTTGTTGCAGTGAGCTTGACACAGACATTTTTAAATTATGCTCAATATTGAAGCGTGGTCTGTGCTACATGCTGTGGGTCTAAATACGGCCGAGGCAGCGAGGAAGTGGGGGCGAGTTTAGTCCGACGACGGAGGAACATGAGGGCCAAAAAGGGCGGAGATCCAGGTGGAAAAAGGGTCCCAGCGTTCTCGCGCACCTCGCTCTTCTAGCGGGTCAAACTTCATGAGTTGTTTTCCGCAACTTCTGTAATGAAAACAAAACAAGCCGGCCTCCTGTCTGCGGTCAGCTACAATTTGGGAGAGGTGCAGCGGAGCATCTGTGGAGGGGGCGGGACGTCTGGAGCTGAGGTATTGAATTGCACTCATTGCACTGATTATGTGCAGTATTTTTTGATGTAACTTTTCTACTTCTGTTATTTGTTGTTGTTTCTAAATAAAAAAATACATAACGATATTACAGCTTTCATTGATTTATTTCAAACTTGAAACTTTGTTTAGCCTGTAAGGTGAATAAAAAAAAAAAAAAAAAAAATGAACCAATTAATCGAATTGCATCGTGGTGTATTCTTGAGTATCGAAAATAATCGAATCGTGGGGCCAGGAAATCGATACTGAATCGAATCGCCATGATGGATGTGATTTACACCCCTAATTGAGATGCTGTTTTCATTTTCCAGCAGGGTTTGTTACTGATCCACACAGGCAAAGGTACCAATAGCTGCTTTTACCAGCATTGGGGACCTGAAGGTGGCTATAAAAGCAACCTTCCTGAACACCTGAGCATAACCACAGGTTGATCTTTTCTATCCCACGCACATTGATGCAATTTATGCAGAACGAGAGGTCTGAGTGTACAGCTCATGGACACACTGTTCACTATGGAAGACATTTCTGAAATAAAAATCATTTCTCACTGCTTAAATAAACTGTCTGATTATAAAAACAAGTACCTAGAAACACATCAATGTCTATGTTAAAGAGGGACTAAATAATACATGAGTCATACTTCTTCACTTTTGAATGTATTAAGCTTTTAAGTTTATTATTTGAAGAAAATGAAAAAGAAAAAAAATATATTACTTAAGTAGACAAGCAGAGAGTTCAATCAGAAAAAACATAATTCCAATTTTTATGACCCCCACAGGCAAAAAAAAAGAGTTATGGGACAGAACAGGAAAAGTGCTGCAGTGTATGCGCGTGAAGTTCACATTCAAATGAGCAGGAAAGATGCTCTAAAGATGACTTCAAGCCAGACAGCTGCAAATATACCCAATAGGTTGATTGAAGACATTAACACATTGTGGCTGACCAGCAAAAACCCTGTAGTTGTTTCAGACAACGCTGCAAATATGGTTTCTGCAGCGGAGATAATGTAGCTCATGCATGTCTGCCGTTTCCCGCTGTGTCACGTCTGCTTGCTCGTGTAAGTTTTCACTTTTTCACTATTCACAAACAAGTTTGCACTTTTGAGACAGTTTTGTTCACATCTCGAGTTTAAACTGTCTGATTTACAAGTTTGCACTTTGTGTTTAATGTGACAGGAAAAAACAAAATACATGAGTATTTTGAAACACAGTTGAACCACTTTCATTATTATAAAAACAGATCGAATTGAAATTAATCGATTTAAAACTGTATGAATCACAATGAAATCAATTCAGGACTTTAGCGAAAATACCCAGTGCTAAATCATCTCCTGTCCAAAACAGGAGATGATTTCTACAGTAACAGGAACCAGCCTCTGAAACTTTTTCAATAAATCAAAAGTGTTTCTTACCATAAGACTCTCTCACTCCGATGACCAACTGGGAGTCGAAGGCGTCTCCGAGCCTTTCGGCGTGGACCAGCTTCATGGCGCTGTCCTGGAGCCTGTTTTTAATGTTGGAGAAGATGGACTCGTTCCACGTGTCCAGCATGAGCTGCAAACACCAAGACCAGAATCCCCAGTTTGCTTTAACAGTGGATGAACGCTGGGTTAGAACCAGACAGCAGAACTCTGCTTCTCCTCACCTTCCGGACTATGCTGTCCTCTACACTGGACTTCTTGTTGCTTCCCTGCTTGCCCATCAGGGTGATCTCCAGCTGGCAGAAAGGTTTGGGCAGGATGTCACACTGAGTGAAGAACTTCCTCCACTCAACGATGTAAGCCTTCAGGAGCGCCGTGTCATCCTGGTGACTCAGCACGCGCTTGGATAAAAGGTTAGAAGCAAAAGATAGGGCTTATCTGCAACATTTAATTCAGGACAAAAAATAAAGAAACATGCAACAAAAATGGCCTAGGTACTGAGGTCATGACAAAACCTTTACTTTTAAATATAAAGTCAGCTATCTGACTGAAAGACATCTGAAGTCATCTTCTACCCTAAAAATCAGTAATGAACATTTAAACAGAGCCTAATCCAAACAGCTGCTTAAACTAACTGGTCATATATTGGCATAGTAATTAAAGAAGGTGCTAACAAGGAGGAAAAAAGGTGCATTAAGAATAAACAATATATATACAGTATATCAAGATAAGGAGCAGCTTTTAAACCAAAGTATATCCCAGATATGTGCAACTTTTTACTCTGTGAATAGACCATTAATTACACTTAGAGGGTGTCCTAAACAATTCCTATTGGTTGACCTGTAAGCATAATGCTGCTACTGCTATATTTCTCCATGGGGACCGATTTATCTACCGGTATATATATTTTTTTAAGTTTAGGTTTTGCTCTGATTAGAGCATCTTCTCCACATGCTTGCTCTGTCTGCAGCAGAGGCTGCGCTAGATTTTTCTGGTTTTACATTTTCTTTAAAGTCATAATTTATTTCTACCCATCATTTTTAATGGTAATAATTTATATGCGAAATTTTCATTCATTTAACTGATATCCAGTCCAAAGAAGCTGAACAGAGAACCCACATAAAATATGGAGCTTTTTCACTGCTGTGAAAGAATCATGACAGTGGATCAAGTGACAAAACAAACATAAATAATGAAATTAAATGATCACCCAAAAAAAGAAAAACACAAAAACACAAATTCTCACAGCTTCACACCTGCTTGTAAGTTTTTAAAAGTCTGCAGCTGGATTCTTACAAAGGCATTTATCACCACCATATTGCACTTTCAGCTCTGACTGTTTTATTTTTGCCCTGAAAACCGATCCCTGCTGCCTTCCAACAGATAGAATTACAAATACAACTTTAGCCAAAGCTTTAAAATCTAGGAAAATGTCACCAAATGAGGTGATCTGATGAGGGTTTTTTCTTAAGAAGTGAGGAACAGCTAATTATTACACTTCATGCCCCCAAGATGTCATGGTGTGAATTCCTAACTGTCAAAATTACAAATGACTTTCAGATTTTACTGTCTAACACGACCCATGATCTACTTCATGGTTCATCCATCCATCCAGCTATCTATCTATCAACAATGGTTTTCTTCTTCCAAAGTTACCATTAAAAAAAGGAAAAAATTAAATGGAAAAAGAATAAAAAAACACAACAACAACAAAACACTAATAATTGTCCTGTGTTAAGATTCTGCCATGTAAGTGTTGCTCCCTGCAGCTCCTCCAGAGCTATGATGCACCTCCTGACAGTGGCAGTCCATATCATGGTTGGTCTGCAGTTGGTTGGTCTCTCTTTTGGTTAAGTTCATGAATTAAACAAGACTATGGAAGGTTTTAAAAGTTTCAGATATTGTTTTAGAGCCTTACCCTGCTTTAAACGTCTGCTTGATCTGTCTGCTGTGTTTTTAACTAGAGTTGTCTTGATGCAACTTGATAATTTCTGTTACAATTTGATAATCCAGCTTTGATAACATCAGATTGAGACATTATTTTTAATTAGGTCAAGCTGTTTGAGTATAAATTAACACCACATTTTAAACAGTTATATTTATAAGTAAAAAGACTAGAGAAACAAATTCTTCTTGCAGTAAAATCCACTTTTAGTTTGTGTAAAGATGAAAAGAAATCAACGGCATGCCTTACTGCTTGAGCTTGTTTGATGAAATCTAAGATGTCCTCTTTCAGAGCCTGGTGGATCTTTGCAGGACCTTTGTCATCCCACAGGCAGACGGCATGGACATCTCTGTATAGACCAGAAGGAGACAAACAAATGGAAGTTTTTGTTGCCACTGAGAAGCAACACTTCCAGTAATCACAGTAACAAGTGCAGAAAGAAAAGAAAAAAACGTACGAGAACAGGTCGAACCACTGTTGTTTGGTGACGGACTCCTGCCGTAGCAGCTTCAGCACGATGGGGCGCATCAGATCCCATTTATCCTCAAACTGTAGGGAGCCTTTGTTCTAGAAACAGAAAAAGGAAAAACTACAAGATACACCAAGTGGAACTATTGTTTTTTTTTCTTCATTTGTCTATATTTTATCCTTCTCTGTTCATCTCCTACTGTTACATAAAATATCTAAAACTTTCTTCTGTCATGGTAGGCAATACAAGCAAAGAAGTAATTCTTTACCGTCAATAAAATGAGAAAATTAGGTTTAGCCTGAAGTTCATAGCAAGAGCACCTTTCCACACAAGAAGACTCTAATAAAATAAGCCACACCCATTGCTGTTTACACCACTCCATTCTTTCCATGCCAGACGAGTTTGTCTGCTGTGGAACTTTAGTAATCCATCATACAAAGCTTGGATACAATTTCTCAACAGACCCCAAAACAAACGCTGTGGGATAAAAATGTAAGAGTGCTCCTCCCTTAATAATAATGTAAGGAGGAGCTTGAGTATCAGGGAGCTGCTGTTCCTCCACATTGAGAGCAGTCAGCTGAGGCGGCTCGGTCACCAAGACGATGAATTACTGAGCTGATCCATCTGCTGAAGTCACATTATATAATGTCTCAAACAAACCTATATATAATGGCTCCATATGAGGAATATCTAGTCATTTTCTACACAACACAGGGGGTACGTGCTAATAAACCACTACGACAAACTCTGCACCAAAAATTTTAAGGCATAAGGCATAGAGGTATAAATTGACAAAGAATTTTCCTTTTCTTATTATTTACTATACAAATATAATTTTGGTGTTGTTGACAATGTACTTTATTTGTTCAGATCAATGGGAAAAATTTATTTGTTTCTAACATGTACTGTTAGTGATGTTACGAGATGAGCTAAGGCTTCGAGGCATGCGTCGAGTAATGGAGGGGTGTTTCCACGAAGCGCGTGTCAAGGCGTGATTCATTTAGATGGAGAGGCCAATATTTATGACATCCGAGGCCTCGGTACAGTGATACCACGTCACTGCTTTGGGAAGTGGTTCAGGAAGCGCAAGATTTTTGACAGGCATTTAAATAGCCTCACTACTCAGTCAAGATGTGGGAGTTTGCAGGTGTTGCTGTCAGCTGTATAGAGTTTGGAGAGGTTCTTAGAATAGTCTGGTTGTTTTTCCAACCAATCTAGTTGCTTAAAACTATTTTGGTTAGAATAAACAATGTAATAATCAAATTCTGAGCAAGCCACCGTACACACAGTTGTAACATTGGTGTTAAGTAGTATTTTCTCTATTGAACAGTTGGTTATATCACTTGATGGTTCAACCTTTGACTTTTGAAAGTTGCGATTATACTTAATTATTTTGGCTAATGAGACTAATTTGCATTGGTTTGCACTAGTAAAAATTTAGATCGGTTAAAAACGCTGCCAAATTAGGTCGGTTTAGCCAAAAGATTGGTTGAACTCAATGTCCAACCTGATTAAAACCCAAAAAATGTGGAAAAACTATTATGTTTGAATAAAAATGACTAACACCTTTCATTTTGCTCATCATTGCCCAATTTGCACAAAAACTTTCACTGTCTGCTTGAGTTTATTTAACTAAAATGGCAGAAAAACTGTTTACCTTAAATGATTGTTCTAAGAAATTTTACACTTAAAAAAAACTTACAAGAGATTTTATTATACACACCAACCATTAACAATTTGAAAGGAACTCAAAAGAGGGGGGAAAAGAAAAACTATTGGGGAAAAAAATCACAGATTTTATTACAAACTCTAGTTATGTACTACTGGTGGTGACATGTTCACATGGAGCCTCATAAACTGTTGGGATAGTTGAAGCAATTTGGCCAAAGGGTTCAATGCCTCATGAGGCTTCATCTCACCATCACTGATTGTCAAGACAAAAAGGTTGCCTGTGCATTACTGCTATGAATACTGGCCAAGTTTATGGTGCAATGAATGAAAATGCAGCCCTTTTGAAAACTAGGCAGACACCTGTTACAGAGAGAACAGACAGAAAGTCTGTGGCTGAATGTATGGAAACGGTGAGGAGGAGGGAAAAAGGCTAATGACAGCTGATCCAGGCAGCACCCTTCTGGTCTAAAGAGGCTTCAGCTCTGCTGAATGACAGCTGATGAGCTTCGGGACCAGCCCGGAAGAAAACTGTGGTTATATTTACAGTACCAGAACGAGCAGTAAAACGTCGACTCATCCCAAGGTTCTGTCCCTCATCGGCTCCAGTTGTTTCTACCTATTTTAGCGCTGCTATAGCTCCTGTGTTTAGCTGCTACATCACTAAGAAGCAGCTAATGTTAGCTTGAAGAAACTAAACTGTTGCCAGTTGAGGCCGAACCCTGACAGCGCCGGTATGACCCGGTGCTGTTCGGTAAACTGGGACCCAAACATTTGCGTTTCACTGTGAGAATGACAGGTGCTGCAGGCAATAATAACTGAATCAAGGATCCTACCTTCAGCAAATTAGACGGCGCCGCCATGTTCCCTCAACTTCTCCTCTCGAGAAATCTCGCGTGAACTTCAAAGTGGGGAAATATGCTGCGTTTGTTTCCCCTCAGACGTTTTATTATTAACTCAGACGCAACTCCTTTAATCTAAAGTTGTAACTACGCTGTTACTTTTTATGATCCTACATATCTCTTCCCCATTATTAGAACCTCAATTATAACAGCGATTCTAACTATCAATATACATTTACAAATACACTTTTAATTACATAGAATTAATTATAATTTTGCAGTAATGCTTTTAGTCTAGGCAAAATTTGAACGGGTGAATCAAGAAACCTATAAATGTGAGCCTCCTCTGCTTATTCTGGCCTGGCCTGGAGTGTTGCTGAAGAGTGGCTTGTTGTGTTATATAACTTATTTGGATAAAATCTTTGCTCCTGGACGTAATGTACAAGTGTACTTTTATTTTTTTATTTTTAATTCAGTGAGCATAAAATAGTGTACATTAACCCTATACTATATAGAAAATTCTTTTTATTTTTTTTTAAGTCAAAACTATATATTCAAATGCTCTGAGTGTTTTAATTGTTCAGACTGTACTCACGGGTTTCTGTATAAGTAGTATAGCTAACATAAAACTATTTATTGCTATTCCAATGCATTGTTTAGAGGAGACATTGGGTAAAGTACCATGTTCTCTTTGTTTTAAGTTAAAAATTCAAAATACCTCAAAAACTTCTGCTGGTGTGTGCGTATATTTTGAGTAACTCCAAGCACTGCAAAAGTGTCTTTACTGGTCTTTGTGCAAAAGTAATCAGGCACCAAAGGTTTATCTGAAAAACTGCATTTAAGGTCCAGATCATCACTAGAAGAATGGATCGTAATTAAACCAGATTTAAATTGACAGCTCTGACCCCCTGTCTGTCATTTTTTTTTCAATCGACCCATAAAACAAACACTGAACAGCCTTTAACTTCCAAAGATTATTGAGGTGCTGGTCCTGTATGAGCCATAAAGACCAATCAGGTCTTTGGAGAACTGCGATTTTCGCAGAGCCAACCTGAAACAGCATTTATTGTCTTTGCTCTGGTACTAAAGAAAGGACAACAACTAATCATTAAAAAATGTGTATAAAATGTTTGTTGCTTTAGCCAGGAAATATATATATTTTGCATTTACTGAAGGTTTAGATCAAAGATTTTTTGCCAGTCTCTCTTTATCCCAATAAACATGCTTACAGCCTTCAATAATCAGCTACTATGGTGTCAAACTAAAAAGGCTCATTGCACAACCAAAACCTGCCTTTATTAAAAAAAAGAAAACAATATTTAATAATAACAATAATAATAATAATAAAATGTAGTAATTTTGAATATTTACAATTTAAATTGATCAACAGTGCAGAAATCTTTGGGTTGTCAATGATTTTTCAAAGCATATTTGATATTTGAGGCCTTCACTTGATAAATGGACAGAAAATAATCTCCATGTCGACCTTGAATGTCCTGGTTTTTAACCTCAGCACTGTTTGGTAAGAGTTATAGCAAAGACAGGTTTTCACACAGATCATACTGAGTTGAATAAGAGGGAAAAACATATTAGAGCAGTCCCTGGGGATGGTTCCTGCTCCACATCCACCACAGTCTTTGTTATCATTCCTTTGCTTGCCTTACAATCTTGAGTAAAGCTTTCCAACATAAGCAGGACTGATTTCAACTCTCACACAAAAATAACAGGACAGATAGCATTTAAAAGCAAACAACATGGTTTTTGAAAAGAAATGTTGATATCCAGCTGAATGGAAAAGTATCTAAAGATCTTGTAAGTTTCCATGAACCTTTAGAATTTCACCTGATTTTAGGGTGCAACTGATATTTCCTCTATTAAATAACCAGGACAGGAGTCTGCTCCAACCTCTCTGAATTAAAAAAAATACAAAGAAGTTTTCTTTTTAATGACAAAAAGATAACTATTTGATGTATTACGATTGTGCAAATACTGCAGTGCTGAAAAACAATCATCACTAACAATGAGCGGACAGGTCAGACATACCTGTTTGTTGGAAGCTTCCTGTTATTTCGGCACTGAGTCAAGTTGATTCTCATTTTTAACTGAATGGTTTTCAAGAAACCCTTCCTTTGGGAAAATTAATTTCTATACTGAGACTAAACTAAAACAAGCTGCTCTAGAAAACTGTAGGCAGACACTGTCGTTAATGGGAGGACAAACTAGAAGAACTAAAACAGGTCTGTAAATTTAGTCTTTTTGACTTAGTCAATTCTCTTTTTTTAAAAATACAAAAAGAACTTTTCATCTTTCCTTCTGTAGGGGAGTCTTAAACGTTTACAATAAATATGTCAATGTGCAAACAACAGCAGCTCTGCAACAATGTCTACACGATGGAATTAACAGCTGATCTAAAATTTGTGTAAGAAATTCATTTTAAAGAAATTGATAAAACTTTATGAATAACAATCAATAATGCATAACATTTATAATTATATTCTATAATTAGTGATAGTTTCTGTGAATAATATTTTATGATAATACTTAATTAATATATTTTATTGTCAGTCTAACTTTTCAGACATCGATCCAACTTTGAAACCAGTGTTTGTGGATCATTCTATATGTGAACTATGAAAACCTCAAATCACATATTATGATTTTCCTTTTAAATTCTGGAATTAACTTCAAGAATAGTTTGGTCAAAAAGTCTTTCTGTTTTATATGGCTTTGTGGGCCTACTTGATAAAAGAGGAACAATGTGTTGTGAAATCAAAATAATGAACAATATTACATAAATGCCTTCATTTCTAATTGGATCCATCTGTTATGCTTTTTTAAATGAATTTAAACTATGCTGCATATTCCCAGATTTTATGAAAAATGAAATGTGTGAATAATCTAACTGGATAGAGCAATAAATACTAACTGACCCTTAAGTTCGAGATCAGCCTGTTTTTCAGTGTAGTCCTGTTTCTCTGACTGTGACTGGCTGAATGTGCTCGCTTTATCCTCTGACATGAAAGCTGGCTCGGAGCCCGCCTGCCTGGTTGTCTGTTTCCTGGACGGGGCCGCCTATGGTGCTGGTTTACAGTTGTTTTTTTTGTATCGCTGCTTCTTTTTCTATGTCTGCTTCTGTCTCTTTGAACCCAAGTCGGCCTCGGCAGATGGCCGCTCACGCTTCTTCCTTTTTAAAGGGAGTTTTTCCTCTCCACTGTCGCTAGAAGCATGCTTGGTGTGAGGGATTGCTGAAGAGTCAATGAGTTGATGCAATCAATTGGTTTTCCTTAGATCAGAGGTCTTGAACAGAGGGTCCGCGACCCCTAGGGGGTCCACGGAGGTACTGATGTGGGGGTCAGGAAAGTTTTGGTTGATTAGACTTTTTTTTAATATATATTCCCCTTGCAAATTTTTTCCACTAATTGAAATGTCTTTAAATTCGCATTAACATGAATTCAACACACTGTAGTAAACAGATAAATGGAGGCAGAAGATGTCTTTCGGTCATCAATGCTCACATTCAGCGACACACAGGAGCTCTTTCAAGTTGGGCACCGTTTCATTCACAACACCTGTCCCATCAACCAGGAATCAGAATCAGAAATATTTTAATAATCCCAGGGTGAAATTAATTAAATTTTTTTTTAACATTACTTCATCTGTAATAAAATGACTATAGGACCAGTTTGATATAAGACAATTTGATACAATATATGTAATTAGGGGGTCCCCGCTCCATCTCGCCATCAGTTTGGGGGTCCTTGGCCTGGAAAATGTTGGAGACCCCTGCTTTAGATAGAAAAGTTTTAATCAATTTGACTGTATGATCTGGTTGAAATTTAAAGTGCCTTGAGATGATATATGTTGTGAGTTGGCGCTATATAAATAAACTTCATTGAAGTGAATAAAGAAAATTTTATTTTTTTTCTTTCTCCTTTTAAAATCATACATGTTCCATTCTGCACAATACTGATATGTGATTTTCCTTGTTGATTTTATGCAATGATATTGAATAATACCCCTTAAACAAAAAATAAATAAACGAACAAATGACTGCATATTGGATACGTCAATCAAGCCCTCTTCAACCAATCAGAGCGCTGGAGGCGGGTTTTAGTAACACGAGGTTAGACAGATTCGGATCCGCGCGGCGTGGAAGATGTGGAGCTAAAACCGTGTTTCCAACAGTATTAGAATCTGAATCCCAAAGAAAGGCGAAAGCTACATGTAGAAAACCATCATGTCGGGAAAAGGTTTGTAATTTACCAGCAAAAAGGAAGAAGAAGAAGAAGAAGAAGAAGAAGAAGAAGTAGAAGAAGAGGAAAAGGAGGAAATATCTGGAAAATATTCCAATGATGAAATGAGATGACAGGAGGGATAAAGGTTTGCTTTTTATTTTACTTTACAATGTTTCTCTTTAATTAAGCAGTGAGTAGTTTGTAAAACACAGATACATACTGAATGACGCCACCTGTCCCATATGCAAAGCAGGTAAACCAAACTTCATAGGGAAATTAACTATTTTAAACTTCCTGCTGTTTGAGCAGGGCCCTTTTAAAGCTTCACAAACACAACAATAAACAAACAGACTCAGCAAGGGTTTATTTAACAACCGGCGTGTTTTCTTAACAGCGAAAGTCTTAGGTTTTTAGGATGATGTCTGCTTTCCAGGCTTTCATTGCCATAGAGATCAGGGGCAACTCCATTAAAATAAAAAAAAATACTTTAATCCCAAATAGGAATTAAATTTTGTAGTAACTCATAACTTCAGGATGACCATATTTCTTTCACCATATGTTAAGTTTGACGTCAAAGTTTTCATTTTTCTTTCCCACAGTGAGATTTATTAGATTTGTCTCATGTTCTGCTTGGCTTACCTGCTGAAGATAACTTTAAATGACATTAAATCTAAACTCTCCCAGGCTGAGCTATAGAGATGGAGGAGGCCACAGAGGACAGCCTGTGGGAGAAATGGAGGAATGGCTGTGGATTAAGCTGGGACAAGCTGAAGGATGTCTTCTCATGGTGAGCAAAGAGAAG